GTCTGAGGGAGGAGGCTGGGCCTGGGGTCCTGACTCTGAGGGAGGAGGCCTGGGCCTGGGGTCCTGACTCTGAGGGAGGAGGCCTGGTCCTGGGGTCCTGGGTCTGAGGAGGAGGCTGGGCCTGGGGTCCTGGGTCTGAGGGAGGAGGCTGGAGACTAGAGTCTTAAGTGTGTGGGAGGAGGGCTGAGGAGGACTTCAGCGTCTGATGGAGGAGGCAGTGAAAGCGCAGGGACAGCTGGTAATGACAGGATGGTAGTGGATAATCAGTTGCCCTGCATTGTTCTCTGGATCCAGTTTTGGTAATTGCACAGGTTTGCGTAGACCCCCGGGTAGCCAGGCATGGCACAACGCTCCATTCCCCAGGACACAAGGCCCTGGAGCTGTTCTCCACACACCAGGGGTCCCCCAGAATCACCCTGTGAGGAGGGGGAATGGGAATAGAATCAGCCACAGGAAGTAAGCAGTTAGACACCAGCCCTCCTCACCTCTGACTCCAGCCTCAGACCAGGGTAGTGCTTCCGTCTGCACTGCCCCCCTCCCAGGCTCCCTCCATGGATCATGCCCCACCCCACCCCCACCGTATCTCCAGGCGACTCTGTGTCTCTTCACACCCCGTCTTTGCCTCTTTCACTGTTAGCTTTGGATTTCCAGAAGTTCCCCCAAATTTCCCTATGTACACACATCACTCTATGCTGCTTCCACAGACCTAAGAAGTTTATTAGACAAAACGGGAAACTGAGGCATAATAGAGTTAAATCCAAAGGAACATGTGACTGCAAGGCAAGGAAACTGGGTGATTCCTGCATGTCTGTGCCCCCGAAGTCCCTTCCAACCACATCCTCTGACTCTTCTGTTACTGAGATACTGGGCCTCACCTGACAGGAGTCCTTTCCGCCTTGGGGAACCCCGGCACAGACCATGCCGGATGTGATGGTTCCCGGGTAGGCCCGACGGCACACCTCCTCTGACATAATGTTGACATTCACACACTGCAGAGCATTGGGGTACCTGGCTGCAGTGGGGCACAGAAGGGTCACAAGTAGAGAACTACGAACCCAGGGGTCCAGGGTCAGCCTCCTCCCTCGGACCCAGCTTTGCATTTCCAGGGCGAGGGCTCCTTACCAACGGGGCTGGCTGTGGTCCCCCAGCCTGACACCCGGCAGGGAGTCCCTGGGCTGGCACAGGACGTGGCCAAGGCAATGGCCTTCACTGCTCGCCCCATCCGCACCTTCTTCTGCAGCTTTAGCAGCATCAGGTCATTGTTATGGGCCCGGGGTTGGTACTGGGGATGCGGCACCTGGCGAGCCACGCGCACCACCTGCTGAGTCGCTTCCCATCTCCGTAGGTTGTGCTTGCCCAGGGCCACGTGAAGAATCCTGTCCCGCAGACCCCAAGAGTAAATGCTGGTTGAAGTCTGACCACGGAGCATGCTCCAGCCCCATTTTCTTCGGCGGTGATGAATTTCACTCAGAGTCTAACCTGCGTCCCTCTAACTGTGGGCTGAGCACCTTGTGGCCTTCCCTTCTCATGGCCTGGGCATTCTCTCTTTGCCCAACCTCCTTTGACATGCCTTCCTCTTGTGTGCTATACTCAAGAGCAACTTGGAGTTCTTCACTCCGTTCCTGTGTCCATGCAGGTTTCTGGGTTTTGAGTTCTAAAGAGGCCCATGAGTGAAGCTAGGTCATTGATGGCAGGGCTCCATACTCTGAACTACGTATGCCTGTCAGTCGCGATTCTTTCCTAGACTCCAAATCACAGCCTAGCTTCTGTGTTATGTTCTGTACATGGAACTGCGTTCACAGCTAAACTCTGGGACCCTGGAATTCTCTAAGTTATTGACATAAGAACAAGAGAGATCACTCACGGGCGGGCACAATGGGCAGCAGTGATGACCCACTCGTCCGACAGTAGAACCCCTCCACACAGGAATCTACGCCCAGGACCTGCTTGCAGGGCCACTTGCCATGGCTGGGAGTTCTGGATACATGTGTAGCCACCGATAATTTTATGATCTCCTTGACTCTGGACCATGGCTGGGGGCAGATGGGGTGGGTGGAGTGGGAGAGAAGATGGACAAATGTCCTCTAATCCCCAACTCTGTACCATGCCCAGCAGACAGAGACTCTTCCTTGTGGTCCAACACCTAAACATCCACCTCTTTCTGCTCCCCCAAGTGTGAAATGCATGCATCATTACCCCCAACACAAACGGGATTTCTCCGACCCTCCCTCAACTGACCTCCATGGTTTCTGTTATTGTATTCCTGTCCAACTCATCCAGGGCCTTGCTATAGCGGTTCATGGTTCCAATGAATATTTTTGTTTTTCCATTTTCATATGGTATGCATATGTGTGTGTATTTGCATATATATGGGCACATGTATGCATGGGTGCATGTATGTATTGAGGCCTGAAGGTATGTTGGGGATTTCCTTGATCATTTTTCCATCTTGTCCATTGAGGCAGAGTCTCTCAGTCCAATCCAGAACTCATTCTTTGGGGCAGTCTCACTAGCCAGCTTCCTTTGGGGACCCCATCTCTGCCTTCCAAAGTTGGAATTCAAGGATGCCCGTCACAAACAGATGCTGCTATGTGGGTTCTGGGGATCTGAACTCTACGCATGGGTGAGTGACAAGTACTTTACTGCCGAGCTCTTGGTGCTCCCCACAGAGTACCACACGCCACTCAGTGCTCCCCACAGAGTACCACACGCCACTCAGTGCTCCCCACAGAGTACCACACGCCACTCAGTGCTCCCCACAGAGTACCACACGCTACTCAGTCCTTCCTCAACACACGAGTTCCTGTGTCCTTCCAAACCTTCCCCCAGACTCCCTCCACCCTTTCATAGTCTGCTTTCATCTTCCCGGACACGACCAGAGACAGCCCCATGGGCCTCTTCAGATGGAAGCCACTTGAGGTGTCAGAACTTTTCTAATTCCTGGTTTCCTCCATTTCCTATAGCTGCTTTCTCTCCAACCCTTTTCCCTGGTATCTCCAAACTTAGAATGAGGGCATGAACTTCTAGTTAAGTGAAGTCCTCAGCTACTCTACTCTCTGCTTTCTCTGTGTATGTAGAACCCAAAGGTGAACCTCAGGTGTCATCTATCAGGCACCATCCATCTTTTTGTGTTTCTTTTGAGACAGGGTCTCTCAGTGGCCTAGAACTTGCTGGTTAGGCTAGGCTGGCTGGCCAGCGGGCCCCAGGGGGCTCCTGTCTTCTGTCTCCCCAGTGTAGGAATTACAATAGTCCACTGCATTTTTTAAAAGAGTGAGTTCTAGGGGGGTCAAACTCAGGCCATTGGTCTACAAGGCTGAGCCATCTTCCAGCCCCTCTGGACTCTTTCTAACCAAGCTGTCTCCAAGAGCATGTTTACACCCCAGAACCCATCCCTAGCTCATCCCAGAGTCTCCAGGGGACCCCGTTGCTCTTACCTAGAGCCAAGGCTTGGAGTACGGTCAGTAGAAGGAACATTCTGGAGCTGAAGGTCCAGGTCTAACAAACGCAGAGAGCAAGTGGAAGAGAAAACCAGAAATAGACTTGGGGCAGTGAGTACCACTCACACGGAGGCCCAGAACCTCGGTGACATGAGGACAGAGCTGAGTGGTAGAGGCCAGAGTCGGAGAGGATGGGGGTCACAGCCTCCTCCAGCTGTGAAGAAAAGATGCCTACCAGGCTCCAGTCACTCTGGCTCCTTGCAAGTGTAAAAGAAGCAGGGTGGTGTCTCTTCCTGGACACGCCAGCAAAGCCTTTTATCCCTGGTCTGGGCAGCTGGCCCTGCCCCCCACCGCCCTTCTGACTTTTTTTTTTAATTACCTAGTTTCCATTCCAAGATTCTTTGCTCCCTTCCCTCCCATCTCTGGCCAGAGAGGCAGACACAGTTATTAATGGGAGCCCGCCCAGTGAAAGATGCTATAATCTGGAAAGAATGGGGGGAGGACTGATCCTGGGCAAGGAGGGTGGGAGAGGTGGCCAGCCCAGTTAAAGAGTGTGCAGTGGACGGGTAAAATCTGGGTAGGGATTCCAAAGATGATACTGGGAAGGGCAGAGAGGAAGATGGATGGATGAATAGATAGATAGATAGATAGATAGATAGATAGATAGATAGATAGATAGATAGATAGATAGATAGATTATAGATAGACAGAAAGAAAGAAACAGAGACCCAGAAAGAGAAGGAAACAGACCCAGAGACAGGGGCTCTGTGTGTGTGTGTGTGTGTGTGTGTGTGTGTGTGTGTGTGTGTGTGTGTGTAACTCAGAAAGAGGGACACAGACCCAGAGAAGGCAGGAGAGATGGAAGGTGAGTTGAGGTAAGACTGTAGTGGGCCTTGGAGCTGGGGGGTCCCATTGCAATCTGCCCCCCTTGGTCCCTCCCCCAGCCTCTTAAAGTACCTAATGATTATAATTTTTCCCTGGGCCTTGGCAGTCCCATGCCTAGACCACGCGGTGACTCACAGCCTGCAGTCTCTCTCCTCACCCCACCTCATCTTTCTCCTCACCCCACCTCATCTCTCTCCTCACCCCACCTTGCTTCCCAGTGACTTTCTTCCTGGAGAAGCCTGTCTCTCTGGGATGGTGCTTCTCCTGGGCCCATCTACACACCTGTGGAAATCTGCATGCCTGGCTTTCTCTGAACTATTTCTGCTAACCAGGGGCTTCATTCACTGGTTGATCTGAAGGCCCGGCAATGAGATGAGTGTGGAGACACACTCATGCTGAGAGAAAGACTCTCGGATGATACAGGATCATAGG